CGGGTCACTAAAAAACCACTATTGCTACACACATTTTGGATACAATTTGTGAACCCACAGAATATATGCTATTTCGACTTCATCTTTACACACGCAATTAAATTCTTAGCGATAGACCTTGAAGCATCAGTTATCGCAATCGAAATTTGCAACTTGACCCCTGGCCCTTGACAGCAGAAAGCCAATCCTACTACGATTCATTCACATTATATGATTGATTATGCTGTATTCGATAGATAGGGATAAACAGGACACTGTCTGTTGAGAGCATGAAGGACATTAAGTCCCATTCTTCAACACAGAATTTATTAGCATCCTTTTGCCTCTAAACGTATTCTCATTAAGTCGTCCACTCACACACCGATGTGGAAAAGGTTAAACAAATAAATTGGTTTCTGGTATTTGCTTCGTCAACATTGACATGGATAATAGTCATAAAACATGAGCCTATACAACCATTTATTGGCAATACGTTTTCAGTCATGCAAAATCCGAAGTGACCTATTCATACATGGTTTCGGTATCGACACACTACATGTTAAAGATAAGCTTGAGTGCTGGTATAATGATAGAAAATAAATTCTCACAGAATCCAACAAAACGTACACTGAATGTTCAATATTACAAATAAATGACATGCGCCAAACGATTTTAGTAGAAATTGAATAACGAGCATAGACAGATAAGGAAATCAAGGTAAGTAGGCCCGACACCATGTGCTTACACAGATCAATAGCAAGGGCGTCAGGAGGGACGAACCCCCAACGATTTTTCCTAGGGGGGCATCATAATCGAATGTCCCCCTTGTTTGTCTGAAAAGAAGGGGACCACCCATTTTGCCCCATTAGCATTTGTTTTACCTAGTGCTCACACTACCCCCTCCCCACCCGCTTATTCACCGGCTGCCCCCCTCCCATGCTCAAGCTAGGATCGACGCCCCACTTGTGTACAAATAAGAGTTGTGGTTTTTATTGAAAAAGATTTCCAGCAAGTTTTTGTGAGTTTCTTTTTATTTTTCTGATTCAAACAATCAATCTACTGCAGGAAAAGAAAATCCAGAATGACTTAACGCCATGTTCTCTCAAGATAAGCCTTAAAGAGTAAGTGAGGTCTGTAAAGGGGAAATAATTTGTGAGCTTTTTCATTCTTTAATGTTAGTGTGGGAGTCATATCCTAGAAAAGAAATCTTCTGCAATGATTGCTATTCAAATGCTATTTTATTCGCATTATGACAAGAAATGGCTGAGGCGTTTGGGCGGGCCAAACTTGTATGTAAATGCTGCGTGTTTGTTTGTGTAGTCCTATTTGTACATGTTTTGTGTACAGTAAGTTTATCTGACTTTCAACAATACTGCGTTCATTTCTTTATAATGTTTATATTTTTTCCAAAACCTCACACCGTAAATTATTATGCGCCATTTATTTTTCAACATTTTCCAATCTAGTTTCCAGATTTCACGATGCAATCGCATGATCAGAATCCAACTTTATCTTTAAGGTTGGCCATATCGAATAGAAGATATCAAATGTATACGGGTATCTATATTGTTACGAGAGCCACTCTCATATATCGGCATACCAAATAACAGGATAGAAGCAGAAAGGAGGAAGTAATATTTTTTTATTAATAATTTGCAAAATGACGTCCATAGACGGTTCATAGCAATACATCAGCAATACACTGATACGGGAAATATATATGCACATACACACATACACACATACACACACACGACACTGGAATACAAAGAAGACTTTTTGTCAACAGTGATTAACTCATTATGTACTTTAGTTATGACGTCACATTTAAAGATAAAACTGGGTTCAGGTCATGCAAATACATTCCAAGGAAACTCTGGAAGCAATGGATTTGGAAAGGTTGATTATGTACTCATGGTAGTTCATAGGAATTGATGAAAACGTAGGGTTTTGGCGTGATCAAGATGAAAAGAAATAGACTCACTCTTTTTGAATATCACTTGCACTGCACACTGAAATGAACATAAGGAACCTACCAAAGAGTTTGGTTTAATTAAACTTATTCATCTATCTCTCGTCATAATTCGAATTAAAGGGCATTTGAAAAGCATTCCGTACGAGAGGATTCTTCAATTCAGTACAGTCAAGGAGTTTTAAAAGATGAAGTCGTATCAGCTCATTCCCTTTGTACCATCTTCGATGCCGCCATGAGAAAATATGTCGGGCATGTGCTTAACTAGATTTTCCTTGCAGATGTGTAGATAAAAGATTCCTGCATACTTTTACAGGAGGCAAGCGAAAGGAAATGGAGCAAAATTTCGTGAGATATAATCCAAAATTACTCGACTTGACATACAATGTGTGGGCATTAATCTGACATATAACTTCAAAGAACTGTACATGAACAAATTCAATTTTCATTTTCTTGAGCCGGAAGTAATCAGAAAAGTGTAAAAATTGCAAGTTTTAGGATTGCAAACTTAAGCAAATTTTCTGACATAATTAGGCTTTTGTATTGATATTTTATTATCTGTTCGATTTTCCCCTTGTTAGTTCAGATAAGTAGTGAAATGTTAAGGATATTTCTTTGTGAAAAAATTCTCTATTCAAGCTTTCCAATGATATTGGCGGCTTCGAACCTCGGACATCAAAGGTAACAGCACACCTAAGAAAACGGCAGCTCCTTGGAATAATTTGTTGCCAGGTGGGTTTTCCAGCTCTTAAAACTCCTTGGTACAATCAAACCTGTCAACCAAGGCCACCCGGGGCCCAATGGAAACAGAAAAGTGGCCACTGTAGACAGGTGGCCTTTCTGGAGAGGTTGCCACTAATACAGGTTTGACTGTAGGCCTACATGTATTATGATTTTCTTCCAAACTGACTCGCCACCCGGTGGGGTCACTCAATGTGACTTCCGGACCGCATGACCGTTACCAAAATCGCGGAAAAAGGGGTTAATTTCAAGCAATGTCCGCGGACAAAATATTCCTTGAAATAAAGAAAATAGGGGGGCACAGGTGTCCCCGAAATTGATAAATAGGGGTCAGGAAAAGGGAAAAGAGAAAACCGGGAAGGGAAAAGAGAAAACCGGGAAGAAAAATTCTCGGAGCCGAGTCTTGTCCTTGAAATATGGTAAAATAGGGGTAAATTTGCGAAAGTGTCCTTACAATCTTATAAATAGGGGTATTCCAAAGTACGATTTTGTCCTTGTTTTGATGTAAAAAAGGGGGTTAAATTTCACAAAATGTCCTTGAAATTGACCGCAAAAGGGGGTTATATGCATTGGTGGTAACGGTCATACGTGTCACTCTTTGCAGGGGAGTAAGCTCACGAATATTTGTCATGTCTACCAATACTCGACTTTCTCTTTACGTCGTCCTAGTTTACTGATCTCGCATCATGCATGGATGCCTTAGAGGAATCAATGTGATTCTAGTATTTATCCTTCCTTATCGATATGTCTTGACCGAAAACAAAACGGGATGTGAAACATGGTTGATATTCCACAGGTAACACCTCAATTACATACGTGCAAGCATCACGCATAATAATAGACCATAAACAAAACGAAAAAGAAAGAATTGTAATGGGTTATAATTCAGTCCTACAAAAGAGACTGACACCAAACCGAGAAAAAAAACAATTATTACCTTCGTCTGAACAGGCGCGTGCGCAGGGGTTGGGGGTCGAAACCCCCCCCCCCCCCTCAATTTTTTGTTGTTGTGTGCTTAAAGGTGACCAAAAAAGGGACCTTAACCCCCCCCCCCCCCCCCCTCCTCTTATTCACCGGCTGGCTGAGTCGTTGCGAAATTTTCGGCGCGATTTTCAAATTTTGGGGGAGGAATGGGGTGTGTTGGGGAGTGGTGGGTGTGCCGCGGGGAGGGGTGGGGTTTGCCGGAGGAAGGGGTGGGCGTGCCGGAAGAGGGGTAGGGATATGCCTGGGGAGATCGAGGTGGGGTGTACCGGGAAAGGTGTGGGTGTGCCAAGGAATGAGAGGGGGTGTGCCATGGGAGGGGGTTGAGGTGTGCCAGGAATATAGTGGGAGTGTCACGCCCGAGCTTCTCCAGCTTGACGCACAGTGTTGCATTTCTTTTTCTCCTTTTTTTCACTTCGGACGGGTTGACGCTCAGAATATTACACAAATCAAACCGAGATTGCTCCGAGATTATTACTAATCTGCACTTTGTTAATAAGTTTCAGCTCGTCAAGCTTGTTAAGATTTCAGCTAAGCAAATTTGGCATTATCTATCCTCCGTGAAAACCTATCTGATTATTCGGAAACTTTCGAGTCTTGCGCATCTTTTAAAATCTTTTAAAGAGATCATAACATAAGAAATAACCTGGCTCTTCCAATTGTCGTTTTATTATTCCAAATGGTCTGATGAATATATGTAGCGAAAAAGAATGCTTAAATATGAATAATATATGATTTATGGGTAAAAAATTGAAATAATCATAGTATTCTATACACTTCACTTGACATGCGTGCAAATTTTCGCGGAGATCGGCCGTTTCACAGCCGAGATCTTAAGGGGGTCATAATCAAGTATCAAGTCAAGTATCAAGTATCAAGTTTATTTGTCTTCCAGAAAACACATGTGACAAAATATAATAGAGTATAATCATAACAGAACAATGTAGAATAGAGAAAGACGAGGAGACCCCCCCCCCCCCCCCCCGGCTGTACTCATGGTACTAAGACCTCAAATAGCCCGGGTTTTTTAGGGCTAACAGGTTGCACGTTTATACACAAATACCAGAGACATTCAATTCCTGCAAATAACACGAATACAGTATAATACACGGGCGCGGGCGAGAACGATTTGGGCGTTGGCTACATGGTCTCTGACAAAACAAAATGTAAGTTGTAATTGACTGAAATAACATCTACAGCTACACAGAACGCATGAAATATAAGAAATCATGAAATGGTTACTCAACTAGTTTGAATATCTGTTCACAAACTAGACACCAGTACACGGGCGACTTACAGAGAATGTGAAATGTCATAACACACTTACCCGCACAGAAAGAAAAAGGTGGACTCCGTTTGTTCAGCTCCCTACTTCCTGAATGAAATTCGAGTTGATGTGCACAGTGTGTTGAAGGGCTTTACCTCTCCGCCTGAGCGAAGACTTTGTACCGTATCGCACGATTTATATGTGTGGAGTTTGAAGATTGACGCGTGAGTGTTATAGTCTATAATTAGAGACCTCTTTTTTATTGTATTTTGTACGGAACCCAGCGGCGTACAAGAGACAGGGCCGCACAGAGGTAGCTCATGCATGCAGTCTCTACCGTCAAGGATTGGCTAAATACCAGGTCCATGCACTGTGAATATGAAGGACAAAGAAAGCGGACAAAATATACAGTTCCTCAGGTAGACAAAGGAACATCCCTTCACAGCTATCATGTAAAAATGTGCAGAACAGGTGAATATGCATGTACACCTGTTCTACACAATTTTACATAATAGCAGTGAAGGGATGTTCCATTGTCTACCTGAGGAACTGTATATTTCGTCCGCTTTCTGTGTCTGCCATGTTCATAGTGATGCTATTACTGTCCAATGGTTTATTAGAGCATAATAATAATAGGAAAAGTTTATATAGCGCTTGTGACATAAACGTTTCAAAGCGCTGTACACAAATCAAAATTACTTCAAGAAAAATCAATATTACTAGTGGTTAACATTACTCAAATTACCTTGAAAACAAAATATTACTATTAAACACAATTTAACAAATTAACATTACTTAAATTACTAAGAAGATCACTAATATAACTTTACAAAAATGAACATTACTTAAATAACCAAGAAGATCAAACATTATTACCATAACTAACGAAGTTCACAAAACATGTAAATTCCTTGGAAATTAACATATTATATCATTATATCAATAAAAGCAATAATTAAAAAAAGACATAATGAAGGCATTGTAATAATTATTCGAACTTATTGTATAGTTATTTGAGTTGTTTTTGGAATAGATGAGTTTTTTTGAAAATGTCAATGGTGGGTGAGTCCTGGATATGGGCGGGGAGAGTGTTCCAAAGAGTGGGGGCACAGACTGAGATAAGGCCCTGTCACCATAGAGCAGGCTTGGTAGGTCCCTGATTAGAGCGAATGAGATGAAAAGTAAAGATGTCTTGATTCACCTTGATTAGACAATTTTTAAAAAGGGCTTCAATAAATCAGGATCGAGTTGTGAGTTTAAACATGTTACATATTATTCGATATTATTTTATTAACCTGTTACAGATAATTGTATTTGAGTAGTCATAATGCGAATTGCATACATCAATTGTGGTTAGGTATGAAGTATGCATTAAATTTGATTACATTATGAAAAATGGCCTTTTTGTATACCTGAACAGGGTATGTGAATTAAGACTACACCAGTGACACTAGCAGGGAACTTTTCTTTTGCTCTTTCCCTCTGTCGCATGACGCAGACCCCAAAGAATCTTTCAATTTAGTTCCCTCCAGACTAAAGAGCTCCCCACTTGTTGATAGAAAACCTATGTTATTGAGGAGATGAGGCAAATTTGAGGGAGAGGGGTAAGAAATAGGGATTGGAGGGGGAGAGGGGGTTGAAATATCATTGACCGAGGCAGAGGGAGAAAAGGAGAAAAGTTAGTAAGTAACATGGGCCATAACACAGGGGTGGAAATTTGGAGAGAAAGAGAGAGGGGGACGAAGAGAGGGAGAGAGGGAGAGAGACAGACAGACAGAGACACACATACATACAGAGAGAGAGAGAGAATGAGAGAGACATGCACATAGAGAGAGAGAGAGAGAGACATATATATACAGAAAGAGAGAGAGAGAGAGAGAGAGAGAGAGAGAGAGAGAGCGAATGCGAGAGGTGGTAGCAGGAATATTAATAGTTGACAAGATTTCAGGATTTTTTGAGGGGGTGTCAAACAACACCCACGCGCTCCAGCTATGTCTAAAATATTAATACCTCAGGCTCTAAGGCATTGTCTTCTGCATTCCAGTGGCGTATCGAAAATCACCAAAAAAATTGTTTTCTTCTGCCAGCCTAATTTTGCAGTGACTTATTGAAGATGAGGTCAAGTAAAACTACTTTCTTTTTCGGCCCGCCTCAATTTCTCCTTGGTGTATGTGATAATTTTAGTTTGAAATGAGAAAAGGTATGAATCTCAGGACAATAATGACATGACATGACGCTACTTAGATTCCCTGAAGTGCATGTACAAATTAAATGAAATTTATATTTTATTTTGTATGTGTGGGCACTGTGTACTGCTCGTATTATCAGACGAGTGGTAGCGAAAAGTAATTATCATTTCAAAAGCATATTTTCCTTTGAAAGTGACCCGTTGGTTTGCAGCTATTTAGGCAGGAATTTTGCCTACGTATCCGCAAGCAAAATCCAGGTAAGCACATGCCTGACATATTTTCTCCTGGCGGCATCGAAGATGGTACAAAGGAAATGAGCTAGATATGACTCCAGCTCTTAAAACTCCTTGGTTTTATAAACATATTCATATTCATGGGTTTCTTTCCTGGGGACCTAGTGACGAGTTATTTCATTAACCTGTTATAAATGAATGAACTGAATTACTTGGAATCCAGTCTCCATACATTGCTTGTTGCTATGTCGGGTAAGTCTCGGAGAAGATTTTGAGGTTGTCAAGAACTACCTTTGTTAAGCATACAATTTGGATGATGATCTAGTACTTAATTTGTACTGGAAATCTCGCTCAACAAGCCTAGCTTGTCTGAGATTCCCCTTTTTCCCCTCTCAGTTAAATCAAGCAATATAAATATGTTGTCTTATTCTGAAACTTAAATGTACTCTGTAAACTTATTTTATTACGTACATACTTATCAGTATTTCGTTACCTGTATAATTCATTTGTTCTATTATATATTGTAATACTATATGGTTTATATATGTCATATTACTTTGTGGATATTTGAGTGGAAAAATAAATAAAATTAAATAAAATTTTTAAAAATATGTTAGTATAAAACCAGTCTATTGTGATCATTGTCGATCTGCTGAATAGCAGTAAATTCAAACTGGTTTGATGCCCACATACCATCGTCTGTTCTATAACTTCACATCTTATTTCATCTGTCATCCTTCTTTATTATTAAGCATTTGGCGTCACCTGTGCCTGGGTGGCAACCAATACAAATAAATAACACAATAACACACTGCAATTATTGTGGGATAGCCTGACAACGACTACTGGGAGCCGGCCGTTTATTTCGTATGAATGTTTAACACACTGTCGCCGTTCCTTCTGGAAACTGGCCGCACACGACCCAGGGGTAAATACCAGAGGGAAAACTTAATGAGAATAAAGACGCTGGAAAACATTATGATCCATGTCGTTACATAACATAACATAACACATCGCCCCAGGGGCGGCCGAGCGACTTCCAAAGTTGGGGGGCACCAACCAAAAGGGGCACTTTCTGGAAGAAAAAAAAAGCACCTACAATGGGAAATCTCAAAGCGAAATTATCCAATTTGGTAGACATTGGTATATACCCCTACATTGTGATAACATCATTAGGGATTATTTCAATATCTGTTTCTCTTTATACATCATACAATAAATTGCTTAAGCATTAAACTTTGCAGTTGGGTGTGATGTCTGAAAATTCATTTGCGAGCGAGCAAAGTAAGTGAGGAAAAAACTTAAGATTTGTGAGGTCGCAGTGCGAAAAATTATATCTTTTAAAGAGGAAAAACACAATCCTGGCGGGGTTATAAGCACATTCTCATACCGGAAGACTGAAATGACCATGATAAGTAACAAAATGATATCATTTATAAATGCGAGCGAAATTGCCTCTTAGTCGCTTTAAATTAGGGGCACGTTTACTGATGTGAGGAAAAGGGGACACTTATCGAACGGACAAATCAGAAAAGAAAAGGAGCACGTGTCAAAGTACAAAGGCTAATTATCAAAGGTAAAAATGAGGCACTTCTTACGCCTAGAAAGAGGCACTCACCATGGATGAAAAAGGGCACTTATGAGAATGTGAAATGGGGCACCCATCAGATTTTGATAGGGGCACTGACCAGATATGAAAAGGGGCACTTATGAGAATTTAAAAATGGGCACTTATAATAAAAGAAAATTTGCTTTTTTTGAAAGAAAAGGGACCCCGATCAGATTTTTATAAGGGTATTTATCGGAGGTGTAAGGGCGCTTTGATGAGAAGGGGGAAGTAGCTTATATTAAAAAGAAAAATAGTCACATGTCAAAATAAACGGGACACTTATCAGAGATGAAAAGGGGTAATTATTAAAAAGGAAAAGGGGCACGTGTAAAAATAAAACGGTTATTAAAGGTGAAAAGGGGCACTCATCACTCATCAGAGATGAAAAGAGATGTTATCGGAGATGAAGGGGGCACTTATCTGAAGTTAAAAGAAGTAACTTCTCAAACCTGAAAATAGTTATTTACCATAGAAGAAAAGGGGTACTTATGAGAAGGGAAAAGGGGCAAATGTTAAAATTAAAGGTGCGCTTATATGAGGTAAAAATCATGATGGGGGTAGTTATTAAAAGGGGAAGGGGCACTTGTCAAAGTAAAAGGGGCACATCTCTGATTTGACAAGGGCAATTATCAGAGGTGAAGGGGGCACTAATCAAAAGTGAAAAGGGGCACTTCTCGTACCTGAAATGGGGCACTTACTAGAGATTAATAAAGGCACTTATGAGAATGGAAAAATTGACAATTATTGCAAAGGAAAAAAGAACAATTGTCGAAGGAAAAGGGGCACATGTCAAAAGGGGGCACTTATCAGAGGTGAAAAGGGGGAGGGGTATTTTTATAATGGAATAGGGGCATTTTCCAAATTAAAAGAGCACTTTTCCCATGTAAAAAGGGGCACTTTTGGGGTCCTTGTAAAAGTAAAAGGAGGTGAAGCGCCATTTTTACATGAGTTTCTTTTTAACTCTCACTTTCACCTTTTCCAGATAACCCTAAGTTTTTTGTTGCTGCTTTCTATGTAGTTGATAATGCATGATAAAAATGAAGAGAGAGAGAGAGAGAGAACCACCATCATTATGCAACGGTTTAGGGTTTGTGTAATGTACATTTGAAACCATTTCTTTGCGTCTCAACCCTAAAAAAATAGCGTCACTATTTTTTGAGGAAAAGCATTATACTGAACTGAATAAAGAATAATAACTTTATATTGGCTCATAC